AGCAAGTTGCACCAGGACTTTCACCGCCGGAGATGCTCTGAGCAACACAGACTTCATTTATTTCTGCTGTTTGGAAACTTGCATTTTACAGGTATGTAAATAACTGTATTCTAAATTCATATATATATTTATTTTAATTAATTTGTTCACAATCACAAGGTTTCTTCAAAGGACTGTGGAGGTGGACATACCGGCAGTCTCCTTAAGTTTGATACCAAAATATATTAATCACGTTTAGTCAGTATGATATGGATTTTTAAAGATGCATACAGTTTTACTGTTAATTTGTGGTATTTTATTTTAGCACTATTTTCTGCTCATGGTCATCAAACAAGTTTAATGTCTGGGCAGTTTAAAGAAAACAAATGAAACAGTTTCAATACATGATACCCGCTTTTTAATGAACAGACTGAGCATTTAGTCACGTTTCATGAGGAAAAGTTGCATTTTAATGACCCTCCATCAAACATTGTTCAGCCAAAGAATTTCTCCTGCGCCCTGCTGTCTGGAGAAGTGGCCTCATTACAGGATTTCCCATCATTGCAGATATGGATCAGAGGGCAGTATGTGCCGGATGCCACCGGCCGATCAGGGACAGATTCCTGCTCAGAGTCACAGACTGCCTCTGGCATGAGGAGTGTGTTCGATGCGCGTCGTGCGGGGACGCGCTCAGGAACTCGTGCTACCTGCGGGACTGCAAACTTTACTGCAAAAGAGACTATGCAGAGTGAGTGTTCATCTCCAGCTCCTCATTACTGTTGTGTTTATCGTTACGTTACAAGTGAAACCACGAAGCAGTTACTCATCACTCCTGAACTCTTGGTTTTACACTGCAATGCAAATCTTTCCTCGGAGGTTTTGCGTTAAGAAATACGATTTAACCTGTGTTAAAATTACACTCAAATTGTTCTTATTGGCTATCAAAATTACGTGACTATATCCATTTTTATGTCAAAATGTAATTCAGTGAGCTTTAACTGGGTGAAGAATAACAATGTGTAATGAAAGTTGTTGCTAAAATATATGCAATAGGCTACGATCATTTTAGCTGCACCCAGGTTTTTTTTCTGTACTGTTTATGTTGCAAAAATACAACTAACATTATAGCTCATGAAAAACATCAAGTGGTGCTATACTACTGTTGCCTGTTTTTTAATATATATGTTTATATTTTTAAACATATGATTCTAAAATTGTTATGTGTTATTAAGGGAGTTTTCACAACAGACCCTTACTACAGATCTGACCTTGACTAAAAATGTGTGTTTGTTTGTGTGTGTGTGCGTGGGTGTGTGTTTTTTTACATGTCTTTCTTGTCTTTTTGGTTTGATGCCATCATTGTGGCATTTTGGTTTACACAGTCAAAGTGTGGGCATTCTCCTTACTTTTGGGGACAAAAAGCAAATCCCCATGACACAAAGCATTAGGACTTGGTTTAATATTTGGGTAAGAGTTAGGTGTTAGGCAAGTAGTGGTTATGGTTAAGGTTATACTGGAATTGAATGGAAGTCAATGAAACAATGGAAACAATGGAAACAACACTGTGTGTGAGAGAAAGAGAGAGACAGTGACTAAAGGCGATTTCTCTTTATAGTGACAACTTATACTATATCTATTCACTTAGTGTTGCACTTTGTGTTGTAGCTCTATATGTGGGGCTACTTTTTTAATTTATGGTAAAAGCACTATGCTATATGTGTGTGTTCATGTAGTTATGTGTATAGGACGTATGCTGTTTTCCAGGGAGCTTGGCACAGCGTACTAAGAGAACAAGGTGACTGTAGGTGGAAGGGGTGAGGAGGGAACTGGAAGATGGAAACACTAGTGCATACTGTACATCCACACACACACATACAGACAAAACAACACAGTAACACCTTCACTCACACACACACACACACACACACACACACATAAAGCACACAACCAGGGGTAGAGCTCAACTGACACATTGTCAAAATGTGTTAAAATTATGAAACCCACTGGCGTGGCAACTGCAAGCTGGGGACAACATATGGTCTTATCAACAAGGTAGTCCCCCACCTCCAAAAACTCCCAGCATCACCCATCACCCAACTCCCTCACCCACCACCTCATCCCCTCATTCTTCCTTCAGAATGTACTCTCATCCAAACAAGAGCAAAGTCAGAACCCATACACCCAGAAAGGTAGCAGGCCACATTATGAATAAACAATTTAGTGATTTAGCTACTTTGCCAACCAGGAGGGGAAACAAGAACTGTTACAGCAGCCTATACTCAGTGGCCTAAAATGCCCCCCACCATCAAGTTCCCAGTCAACAAATTTTGCACTGCAGTGGTGTTAGAGGCTCACATAACTTTGTATTTGTTAGCAAAACATTTAACACAAGCTAAACCACAATATAAAGATTTTAAGTGGAATTTCAATAAATAAATGGAAATCAGGCTGGATTCTTCTGCTTAGTATGATGATGATGATAACAGCACTTGGTCAAAGCACATATAAAAGAGCAGAACTGCAGTAATTAGTAGAGTAGGGACATATGTCAGAAGGTCTGGCACATCCTTCCATGAGAGATGGTGAGGGTAGTATGAACTTAATTTGGGGGACAGTGCGCTCCATGAGCCCTGGCATTATGTGCTGTGACATCTGGAAAGCTTTGCCCACAGCAGCTCCTGTGTGGAGCAATGGGACAACGCCCAGCCAACCGTGAGATATCTGACCTGACCAATTAGCAGGAGGCCTGGTGCCAAAGCTCCATCGCTAAGGTCTAAGGGTCTGAAGGTTTTAATACTGCTTTTTTTTTTTTTAAATCTCCATATAGCCTGTATTCTGCTTCTTGTACTGATCCAGGACTAGTATTAAGGTAGCTCAAAAGTACAATTATTCTATATTGTAACATTTGTCTGTTAACAGATGTTGTATCAGACATTCAGTGGAGTACAAAAATATATAAATGTTTTCTTGGAAAATTAATACATTTGTCTATTTTAAAAGAATGGGTTTTTTGGTTCTGTCATTACATAATTAGTACCATGAAGTTTTTTTAAAATACTGGGGTGAAGTTAATTTGCTTTATAAGGCAAAACCAAACATTCGAGAATTGCCAGAGATATAGGTAATAAATATTTCTGATGTGATTGTTTTGCTTTCAGAATGTATGCACTTTGTTATATTAATATGTAGTAGCCCAGGTGGACTGCACAGCACATTGGTCATCAGATCAGCAGTGTGACTGGCAGTACACTTGACTTGCAGATCTGTATCTGATACACAGCCTTTGTTGCCACGTGTGATCCAGGTTCACCTGATCCAGAAACAGGATCCGTCTCTCTGCTTGTCCAGCACACCAGCAGTCTGTTTGCCTGACTGTCAAAGGTCAGCACTAAAGTCAAGGCAGGAGCAATGAGAGAGAATGGCTTTGACTAAATGTGTGTGTGTGTGTGTGTGTGTATACATTCCCGCTAAACACGCTTCTTATTATACAGTGTATCTACCTTGAGAGTGCCTCACTGAGGCCATGTCAGTATGGAGGAGCAGAAAGTTTTGCCGACCTACATCTCTGTAATGATCTTGTCACTAATTGCCATGTCTAAATCCAGCATGACTGAATGTTCCTGCTCTCCTGGCAGGGTCTCTGGCCCTGTCATGTCAGCAGAAACTCTGACATATTAAAAACCTTCAGCTGTTCCATATGTATTGGGAGTACTCTTACCTTTGCATTCACAGCCCTTCAGAGTACTGAGTACAATAACATTAACTAGACAAAGGCATATAATTCTCAAAACATGAATGGTCTCACAACAGCACTACCCATAGTTTCTTCTTTGCTGGTCGAGTGCTAGCATCATATTGACACATAGTACTTAGCTGTGCCATAGAAATCCAGGAACATTACCAGTATTTCCTCTGCCACAGTTCCTCTGAAAATGTGTAGCCTTGTGCTGCCACAGGAAAGCACATACCACAGACGGTATGTTGTCCATATTAAAGTGCATTCCACTGAGGCTGTCGGGCAGACGACTTGGATAGGTCAAGCAAACCAAACGACCTTCCTGAGCTTCTGGGAATGGGCTTTTCCCTAGCAACCACACAACAACAGCAAGCGGTCCTAGCAATGTTTAAGATGTCGTAGCTCCAAACTTTTTCCTGGGCATCTTATCCTGGAATATTGCTTTAAGGTTTAGTTTGAGTTCTGATTGCTTGTAAATATTACACTAAATGTGTATTTTAGACACAACTAAAAGAAAGTCAAAGTAATATTGTTTCACTTGAAAGTTAACACAAAGATTTTATTGAGAGTGGAATGACTGTAATGATCTATTACTAATATTTGTTCTTAAGTTCACTTTTATTCCAACTTTTTGTGGTGTCATTTTGCACAAACAGCATATTTTCACTGAATATCATAACTTTCTGTGAAGTGAGCTGAAAGCCACAAATAAGAAATTAAATACAAACTGTGAATGACCAATTAGATTACTGATTACAGTGACTGTAACATATAGTTTAATTGCAATTGCTAGTGGACCACATTCATGTTGGTGTTCAAAAGGTCAGTAGTCCCTTGTTTTTTTCATATTGCCCTTCTCAGAAATCATCACATCATTCAAGTTACTTTTTTGAGTGTCTTATGCTAACATCTAATGCTAGTTTTCCCAAAATATAGCAGCAAGAAAAGAATCTTGAATCATTGATATATAGTATTGTAGGTAGGCTCTCCTTATGGGCCACATTTTTTATAGTTTTATGGCCACCAGACTACTCAAGTCTGGAGACAAACACCAGCTACAGAATGATGACGCATCATCCTGTGTGACAGACCCAAAATGCTGCAGTGCCAGCCAGCGGACAGTGGTCCTGCTGCTTGGGGGATGGCTCTGTCTTTGTCTCGCTCTGGTTAAGCAGACTTAGGGATAATTCTGCGAATAATTCCTGGGACTGGCTGCTCAGCCGCTCACGCCAGGAGATCTGATTCCCCCCTCTGCCTGGAGCCATGGCCTGCTGAGAGCTTTTCTCCTGTCTCCTCGGGAGCACAGGCTTGGACACAGCAACCGGAGCCACGGCAACAGTCTCTGAGGCTAAGCGCACCAGTCCTGGTTGCCAGGAGCTAAGATGCACACCCGCCATACTAAGGGTATGTGACTTGAGTGGCCAGGGCAGAGGTGGAGGAGAGGGGAGAAGTCTGGCTGGCAGTTGTACTGAGCAACACATCGACTCAGCAACATTCCTCAAGTCAGCCAAACATTTTTTTTCATGGAGTCCCATCTTACCAAGATGCAGGGGGTCTTAACTTACACTCAAGCACTAGTCAGCCAAACAAAATCATTACACCCTGTTATTTTCTGAGCTCTTTCAGTTTTTCTTCATTTCCTTCCTTGTTACAGCTCTACCCTTGTCTCTCTCTCACTCTCTCCAGTCTGTTTGCAGTGCATTGTGGGGGCTGTGCAGAGCCCATCTCTCCTGCAGAGCTGGTGATGCATGCAGGGGCTGCTGTGTTCCACCTGCGCTGCTTCGTCTGCAGCGTTTGTTCCTGCCGCCTGCAGACTGGAGATTGTTGCGTCCTCAGGGAGGGACAGCTACTGTGTGCTAGAGAGGACTACCACCAGTGTCTGTCCAGCCCAACCTCTTCTGACACAGGTACAGGCTTTGTGTATATGTGCGTGTGTTTGCACATGTTGATAAAAATCAATAGGTCAAAACTGACCCAATACCAATATAACAATGGGCTAAATATATTCAGTTATGACAGGTTGTTTCAATCCAGTGTTAGTGTTATTTATTAAATTACTGTTGGGTTATTGAGCCAAACTATAGTATGCTTGTAAACTGTTATAATCTACTCATTTTAAACGTACATGTTACAGCTTGTTCCTGATTTATCTTTGGAGGTTTGAAAGGCATATTTACACTGTCTTGCACAATTGACACAATGCGTTTGTGAGACTTGAGGTAAAACTTGTTGTGTTTAATTAACATTGGGTCAGAATTGCCAGAAATAGATAGATAGATAGATAGATAGATAGATAGATAGATAGATAGATAGATAGATAGATAGATAGTTTACAAAATATTGAATCTGTTCTACATTGACCTATGGTCAAAGTTTACTCCATCTACTTAGTAAAATGCAAGTTGTTGTGAAATAGTATGACATTCTAAATTAAAATATATTCTGAGAAATGTATGAAGCCACAAACTGAAGAACAGATCCGGTTCAGTGAGGGAACATGGTTAATCTGAATATAGTTAACAACTTAAAGAGTTATTAGGTGCAGTGAGGGAACTTGGTTAATCTAAATATAGTTAACAACTTAAAGAGTTATTCACAAACTAAGTACAAATAATGCATTGAACATCTGAGACTGATGGCATGCATTTTTGTATCTGTCTTTCAACAATTTTATATGAATGACTTGTAGGTAAATAAACATCTTTCCAATCATGTCCACCCACTAGGTAGAAGTGATGATGAAGAAGAAGAGGAGGAAGAGTCTGGGAGAGTTACAGTGAGACGGATTAGATCAGCAGATCTGGAGAGCAAACATCCTAAAAGACCTCGCACTATTTTGACCACTCAACAACGACGGACCTTTAAAGCCTCCTTTGAGGTCTCGTCAAAGCCTTGCCGAAAGGTAGACTGTTTGTGTTCACCCAGTATTCCTGCAGGATATGAAGCTACAAAAAGCCCCACCATGGTTTCCTCCATGATTCCTTTCCATGTGGCTCTGTGTATTTTTGCACATATAGAAAAAAGACATTATTGTACAGTCATTTTCTGTCAATATTCTAACTGAAACTCTTTGGGAAAACAGAGTCTTGTCATTTTAAGGGTACAGCTGTTCTAGTTGCTGTACCACTATTGGGCATATTGATGGAACAAAATTACTGATATTTGCATAGAAGTCTGTTATTTTCTTAAAAAGTTAGCTGAATATGTTTTATTTTTTCCTCCTTGTTTAAGGCAAATCCGTCAAGACATGTTTTAACCTTCAACTGACCTCCTCTCTTTTCTTTCTCCTTCCCCCATGAATCTTAATCCAAGGTAAGGGAGACTTTGGCAGCAGAGACTGGCCTGAGTGTCCGGGTTGTGCAGGTCTGGTTCCAGAACCAAAGGGCCAAAGTAATACAAAGCACACATACACACATATACACACTGTCATATGCTGCACTACTAATAAAAGAACCCTTTCTGCCATGTATCTGTATGCCAGCATGGAAATCAGCCTGGTTATCTCTTCATACAGGAAACTGATGACATCTCACAGAGAGATCAGTGTAGATTAAACTCTATATCTCCTCACAAAGTGTGCTCATGTGTGGTTTCCCTCCTACACTCAGAGATGTCCTTTACCTCACTGTTAATACTTTGCATTTCAGTGAACACACTGGGTGGCAAAGGAACTGTGGAGTGGGAGGGAATTTCACAATCCTGTATATGTACAATTATCTTTAATGTTTGGTGATGCATGTTTTTAGATGAAGAAACTGGCCAGGAGGCAGCAGCAGCAACAGGAGCAGCAGCAGACTCAGGAACAACATGAGCACCAATCACATCACACAGGTATACAAAATGTTTTAAATAAAGAATATCACTCATTTCAAGTATATTTTAGCAGACAAAAGTAATAAACTCATTTATACAAACGCAGAAGATTTTGGTGTGTCAGATTTAAAACATTTCAGACTGAAGTTTGACATATACGCGTTTTGAAAGTCACAGTTAATGGCATTCTGAAGAGCATACAGCAACATGAAAGCTGCATCACAGTACACAAAACCTCTCAAAAACTCAAACAGACAGCAGTGCTTAAGATCTTACATTTGTCTCCTTTGCCCCACAGCGCCCACCTGTGGCGATTTGACCTCTGAGATGGAACGCATGGGGTCCTCTTATTCACACACACAGGAGCAGCAGCAGCAGCAGCAGCAGGTGGGGCTCACAGCACTGGGGCAGCAGGACTATGACATGGACCCCTTCAGGCACGGCCTGACCCCACCTCAGATGCCAGGGGATCACATGCACCCATACGGTAAAGACCACAGATCTGCTGTGAAACCATGATGGGAAGTTGTTTCCAGATCTGCTCTAAGTCTCTGTGATTAGTGTGATAAGTAAAACTAAGCAACAGGCAATAATGACATGATTTGATTGCAGTATGCATGTAACTGTTATTGCACACTGGAAATTGTTTTGGATTTTATTATACTGTCAGTTGTCCCTGTGGTTTTGTCCATCTAATGTATAGTCCAAATTAATGTGAAACTCTTTTGCAACCTCTCCATATTATATTTTTACTTAAAAGGGTGCTCCACTACAAGATCAGGAGCTCAAAATAAATGTCAAAACTGGTAAAGCACAGACTTATAGTCCTTAGTGTGACTCAAGTTCCAGAAACACTGGCTCTTACATTTTCCACAGTGCATTAAAGACAGTCTTTCATTAGACCCCATACCACAACACTACCAGATAGCATATAATTGTGCAAAATCAGTGAAATACCCATTGAAACTGATTAATAAATACAGATTGAACAGTAGTTATCCACTGAGCTTTTTTTTTTTTTTAGGTTTTAAAAGCCTGTACAATGGTGTGGACAGAGATCCTCTTTGTCATGTGGCTGACAGCGACTGCCTCTCCCTGGGTGTCACCTCTCTACTCACTCCTATTGGCCACCTCTACTCCATGCAGGACTCTTACTTCACCTCCTGAAAGTGGAGATCAAATTCACTGAGAAGTGGTTCATTTCCCTCGCTCTGTGATGATCTCTGATCTCATCATTTATCTGTCTGGACAATGCACAAAGTAATACAAGAAGCGGGTGTAAAAATACAGCCAAGGGGACACTGTGGTACCATGTGCACCTCCATATAAACATAATTATACTACTGCCTCATACTGTATGTTTTACACTCTCACTGTACAACACAGGCTCTCTAAAGTTTCTTGTGTATAAATGGTACTGTTGGACCTCTCTCACTTCTCTTTGAATGTTAGATCATGAAATTATAACTGCATCTACTAATGTAAATAACTTTATGGGTATGTATTTTTATTTATTCTCACAATATTTGTATGCTGGTTGTCTAGAATAAATCAGTGATCAATAAATAATGGTTATGATACAGTAAATGCTCAGTGCAAACTGTGTGGAACAGTAAATATAAAGTACAGAGGGATTTGTTTGTATGAAGATGGGGTATTTGTGCTGAGGGTAACAGCCAGGTCACTCCATCCTTGGTGCTTATTAGTCCAGTCTACAGTAGGTGACAGGTCAGCGAGCTGTCTTCCTCTGCCTGTTGGATGGATGCTGGGCTATGACAGCAGTATGGGTCAGTGGCAGGTAAGCATCACATTCATGCCACCTTCATCAACGCTCACATTGTGTTCCTCACAGTCAAAGGCCCTTGCTGCATTTTTCTGTCTTTTCCTTCTTCCAGTCAAAGAAGATGGGAGGGGGGACCACCCAGGCACTGTGACCAGCTGGAATGCACCAATCCTGGTGAAGGAGGTTGGGGAAAACCCAGGGAGGGGGCTCCAGACAACGAAGGGGCTGAAATCAGGGAGAATGCCCAGAGTGACATGGAGATATGAAGCCTCACTGTATGGAGTGTCTCCTTGCCCCAACCCTGAACTCTCTCCTGGACCCATCTCATATTTCCCACTCTGAAATCAGACCTTGCAGAGCAGAGAGTGCAAGTCAATGAACAAGAACAATCTGTCTGTCACCATGGTATGCTACTGCCATCCAGAGCTACAGGAGTGTGCAGCTGCGTATACAGTGTGTGTGTTTCAGTGTGTTTCCCTTTGTATCTGTGTCTGTATCTGCTCTAAGTGTCCGCTGGCATGTGGGTGTGTGCAATGCTCATGTGTTCAGAGGAACAACACTCTTTGTTCTATGGACTAAATGAATTTCCTTGTATTTTTAGATGTACAGTAGATGAAAAGAAAAGAGGCCAGACTTAAATATTATGGAAAGAAGCCAAGGTGGTCACCTGTGGGACCTTATATGTCATATGTGTGCGGTTGGCAGGCATATAGGACAGCCAGCCGCAGTGGGTGGGATGAGAAAAATTATCATCCATGATCATACAGTCTCAGCAGGCAGCAATAACCTCATTATTGTTCTGACAGCAGCCAAACGATTTCCTGTCAACAGTTCGGTTATTTATTGTACCCTTCATGCCAGCCATAGGCCACAAACCCTGTCTTGTAACTGCTATAATTGGCTTCATGCTGTTGTAGCACCACAACAGATGCACATGCTTTGCTGAAGGTACTCCTCTGGACATTTGCTGCACATATTTAAAGTGTGGGGGCAGGATTTATACAGATATGAGTAGATTTCATATTTAAATTAGGCAAATTATTTACACCT